ACGCTAGTGAGAAGAAAAGGCGTATTAAGCAGCACTGAGCTGTTGTCACTAGAAACTCCAGTTGGGTTGTCACAGCCATCCCACATTTGACAGCATGCAGGAAACTGAAGTTTCTCTACCAGTTAACTCCAAGCAACCTGGGCTCACCTGTCATCTTCCACATCCAAATTTCTCCTCTAGATGTGCTGTCCCACCTTTATGCCACCTTCTTCTCTTTCTGACCAATGTTACGGACGGAATCTATGAATTATCTTCACATTCTATTCTTTTAGGTTATAAAATTGTAATTACTTCTCCTGTTAGAGAATTGATGTATCAGCCAGCTATGAATGAAACACATGCAACTTGTTTAAAGACTCTTGTAATAGCAAAACAACACGAAGATAAGGCTTGTCAGAAAGAAAACATTTGTGTTACAAAGCCTTCACACATGGCAGTGGGTTATCACTAGGTTATCACATGACTACATATTATGACCTAATTGAAGAACTTAGCACAGCATTTGCCTTCCTCCTGCAATGATGATTTGTGGCACATTTTGTCACCACACTGTTGAACTGCTCTGTGCAAACACAGCACTGAACTAATAGCAGGGGGGCTGGAACTAGGTGATATTAAAGGTCTCCACCAACCCAAACCACTCTAGGATGTTATGGTTTCTCCTACTTTGGGCCTTGGGGAAGACCACAGAATTCTAAGTTTATGTTTGCAATCAGAAACCAAGAGAGCCTACTCCAGTTTGGAGGTCACAGTGAGACACATAAACTGGATTAACGGTAACCCATCAGTAGTAAAGAGATACCAGAACCCCAATACCAGCCAGTGTCTCTTACTTCCTCCAACTGAAACGTAGGAATCTTCTCCACTCTACATCTGCAGAACCACAAGGGCAGGAAGCGACCTCTGGAGATCATCATATCCAACCCACAGGGCCAGCAGGGCACAGAAGGAAGCATCCAGGTGGCTTTTGATTGTCCCCAGACAAAGGGAGTCCCAAAACATCTACCAGCAGCCTGTTCCAGTGCTCTGTAATCCCCACAGCAAGGAAGTTCTTCCTCATGCCCCAGTGGAACTCACTGTGCTCTTGTTTATGCCCACTGCCCTTTGTCCTGTTGTTGGGCACAACTAAAAAGAGCCTGGCATCATCTCTAAAGTGACAGTGGAACAGTTCACATTTGTAACCTCTCAGTCTGCAGATATGCAACCTTCCTGCCTCTGCAAGCTGTACATTAACATCATGATGTTATGGTAAGGATTCCTAAGAGACATGGCACAGACAGCCAGGGGGAGCAGAAAGCTCCAGAAGCAGACAACAAGCAGAGGGGAATGATGCTGCCCCACCACTCCATCATAGGGCAGTGCTGACAGGCTGCTGGGTCCCACATTCACTGCAGCTGTTCCAGCCATTGTAACCTTGCCTCATCCTGCAAGCTGAGAGCTGAAGGTCCCATTTTTCCATTTGAAAGCCATCATCCCTTTTCCTGGTCATATGCCAGGAATACACAACCCTGCACACATCATGAAGTAAAAGGGACAGATTGGCCCCCTATGCTTTACAGTGAAGGAAAAAATGTTCTGCAGACTACCTCTCCTAATCAAAGAGTTAGGAAAGAATGTTCTATGGCCAACTAAAAATGGTAGTTAACTCTTTTCACCTGCGCATTTGGAGATTCAACACTTACCTTCACTGTAGATGATGCTGGAGAATGGGGTACCTACATTGCAAGGGTAGATGCTTCAGTAACAGTATTATCACTTCAGCTACTTTATATTTAGCACCTGAGCTTCAATTTAGACAAAGCACGTAGAATTCAGCAGGGATGTGAGCAAAGCAGCCAAAGCCAGGGACTTGGGCACCTCTGTGCTCCCTGTATCTGCAGTGAGACAGCTGGACAAACAGCAGCAGCAAAATGCCTTCACCTCACAGCGTTTGTCACAAGCACAGCTCTCCACAAAAAGTCTCCCGTAGTTACGAAGTAACAGCCGCTTCCTGCAGCGGGAACTGCGTACTGTGCAGCACCAAGCTCTTCCTGGTAGTTACAGCGAAATGCTTTCATTACAAAAGCCTTTATGCATATGTAAAGTTTCTTCATCAAGCGCACAGAAAGCGGCGAGAGTTTACACATCTGAAATAAACACTAATGGGCTGTGCTCAATGGTGCTGCTCAAAAAATTACCATAAGGCAGCAACATGGGAGCACAGCGTGCGATGGGAACGTGTTCATTTCCCACCTCATCTCATTCTGCAGCGCTTCTCTCCGGCTTAACAGGAAGACTAATTTGTTTTCAAGTAATTGAGAAACAGCTCCTTATCAGTTCTTCAAATGTCTTTTTTCCTTTCACACATAGCCCAGAACTGTTGCCAACAGCGTACTCATAAGAGATTCAGCCTAGAAGAAAAATGCCAAACAATGCTGCAGAAAAAAATTAGAAACTGAAGAAGCTGCTAAGCAGACAAAAGAGCTGGTTCTTCATTTAAACAACAAAAATAATTTGTTTAAATAGACACGAGAGCAACACGAGGGAGCACTTCCTACCCCTGCACCAGTGACTTCAGAGGCAGCCACATGCCCTCCCTCTATGGTTGAAGCACATGTTTATTTTGGAAGGGTTTGTGCTGCACACACAAATGCAAACACCCAGCCTGCTCCGAGCTGACAGCACACCATGCTCACACCCACAGGAAACCTCTTTCCTCCTTCCTGAGGCCTCACCAGAGACCAAACATGAAACAGCTTCCAACGAGTCACAACCACACACACAGAGCTAAGAATTACTTGCTAATGGAACAGCATCCTCTTTTTTTTTTTGACTGCTCTAAGAAAAAGTGAGAAATGCAACATTTATAAAAATTTTAGAAGCCTCTTTCTCACAGCATCGGTTTCCAGCACACAATAAGCCAACGAGAAAAGAAACCCTTCTGCACTGCTCCAGTCCTGCAGCTTCTCCCATTCCAGTTACTTCCAAGAACTGCCTTCTCCTTCACAAATATAGCCAGGAGTTAATAAGAAACAGCATAAACATGTTGTCCCAACCAGCTGAAAAACAGAAACTGAAAACTGTCTCCCTATGCCATCTTTGTATGATTTTCTTCAGCCTTCTCCAACAGAACCCAAGTGGTGGGAATACCTCCCACTGCCACAGCCACCCACAGCTGCACAACAGAGCCATGCCTGCACCAACAAAAGGAATTTGTGCTCCCCTGCCAAGCTGGCACCTTCTGACACAGCTTCCCCTGCACACCCAGGCTGGTCTCAGTCATTGGAAAGATCACAGCAGAGAAAGTAACATCTATGCTGCAAGCAGCTCTGCTACGTCACACCCTACCTGCCCCAAATCCAGATGCAGTCATGCTTTGCAGAAGGTTCAGCCCCCATTTGGCTTTAATCTTTGATTTAAAACACCCTGCATATGCAGTATATGCTGGTGCAGGCAGCTCACCCAGCTACAGTGTCATTCTGCCTTTACAATGAATTTAATTGCTTTCTCCCAGATACGAAATAAAATAATTCAGTGTTAATCCCTGTGTCACCTTTAGTTCTAGTGGCTGTTGTCATTCAACCTTGGAAACAAAATAAAGTATGGGCACCAAAGAGACAAAGATAAGGGACAAGTACTGAACTCACAGAAACGCAGTCCCTACATTTAAAAGAAATTAACTCAGGTGCTCCTGAAAAAAAACCTGGATCCATATCACCACCCTCATAAAACCTCACGTCACACCTGATGGTATCAAACATACATACAAAGTTATCACAGCAAAGACAAAAACCACGCTGTGCCACACAGAAAAGGAGATGGCACTGTGGCTCCGCGCTATCAGGAATCAAGGCCCATTAGTTATGTAAAAACGAACATAATTAGTTACTCTGACAAGAAAAACATCTGCTACTGAGATAGGATATTAAAGTCATTGTAGCACTGAATCCTTTTCACACAGAAATGAGTTGACAAAAAATATTACATATTTTGGAAACTAAACTAATTCTTAGATAGAAATCGTACCTTAATTCCAAATGTCTCACATGCCTAAGATTCTGAGAGGAAAGGTCCCAGCTATTGCTACCTTCCTTACTGCTATGAACCACAGGGCAGATGCAACACAATTCAGATTGAAGCTTTCCGATTTCACACGTTTCTCATGGGAAAAAAATTGGGGGGAAAAAAGTGCACTGATCAATTTATCCTAGTTTCCCCACTGCGTACTTAGAAGATTGTTTTTCAGAATTCAGTATTACTGAAGAGAGAATTAATTTTTGCTATATAAATACATAAAAAGCGTTTGAAACATAAGTTGTTTTGTCAATCCCATATGCTAGACTTGGCTCTTTTCTAATTCCCAGCCTTTGGAATTTGAGAAGCTGTACTTGCCAGTCTGCCACCTAATTACACAGCAATAAACGTGCATTAACCAGTTCAACACCAAGCTGCAGCCCCGACTGCTGTGTGGTGACAAACAACCCAAGGCACAGAGCAGGTGGCAAAAGGCAGCAGCTGCAAAGAAAGGCATCACACCTGTCTCACCTCCTCACCTTCGGTGAGGCCGCAGCTTCACCACCATTTCCTCCATCCAGGCTTCTCATGAGCTCAAGGAACTGAATTTACTCACTCCACTGAGTTGATTTGGGGGTGTAGGAAGCGGAGATGTACATTTTTTGGTGGCAATTAGTTGTCTTTGAAATAATAACAGCTAGAAACTAAATTGAAAACATCTGTCCTGACATGAGGGCAAAATGATAACATACAGTGTGTTACGTTCCAGTTATTTCATCTGTGCATTCCTACCAAAAAGGAGCCACGTGACACCCAACGTAGAAACTTACTCTGAGAATCCAGCGTGAACAGTCGGCTCCTGCAGCAAGGATTTAGGAACACGAGATATTCCCTCCTCATTAGAAAGGAACATGAAGAACAGGACACACACACACACACACACACAGACACTTTTAAACAAACTTAAAACACCACGTGTTTCACCAAATGAATAAACATAAATTTACCTTTGGTTTTTTGTTCAGCAGCCTGAAAGAAGAACAGAACAACAAAAAAAAGAAATCAGCTATTTGTCAATCTTCAAAGGGATACCTAATAATTGCAGAGCTGCAGCCCTGACCTTTTGCAGACAACGCTTACATAAAGCGGGCATTAGGTCTAATTAATGATAGGAACATTTTAATTCAACTCCATGTACAGGGAACATAAGAATGGCTATCTTTGTCTGACAACAGCCCAAAGCTGCTGCTTAACCACAGTAAGAAGCACAGCAAGCACCAGCCCCCACCCAGCCTTCCACCACCCAGGACTCAGAGATGCCCTGAACCAAGCAGGTCTACAAAACACTCAAAAAGTTCAGTTCCATGAATTTGCCCTGTTTCAGTTCTACCCACTTTTCTTTTTATTTGAGGTAGCTTTTGTAACTACCAAGCAAGAGAGCAGTTCCTACCTACACCCTCAAGCCCACATACGATTGAAACTTCATACACAGACAGCAATAGTAATAATAAAAAGGCAAGAAAATGCAAACCACAGAAAAGATGAAGTGGCCTTGGAATCCACAGCCACTCCAGCATCAATTTAGGGTAAGGCAGCTAACTGTGCACTGATGCTGACAAGGAGCATGCACACCACACAGCACTGGAAGCAGTCACCACCACCCATGGATGGCCAGCAGCTCAGGGCTTGCTAATGAACTGTCACAACTGCTTCACTGAGACCACAGCCTCTGATGGGGCTGCTGACTTGTGTCAGAATTAGTCAAAGTGAAGGTTACAGAGCTGTATCTGTATGATGCAAATAAATGAAGACAAAAAGCAAACCTTTTTCTGAGCACCTTCCTTCTTTTTCTTTTCTTCCTGCTTTTTCTTTTTCTTTTCTTCCATCAAATGTTCCTCTTCTTGTGTTTCTTCCTCTTTCTCCCTGAAGGAATAAAGGGCGCAGAGAGCTTTTCAGTAAGATCAATTTTACCTGGGAAGGCAAATAATCCTTACTAATGTTGTTAGCTTTCTAATTCGCATGTCTAAAAGGGCTGCTTCTAATGCTGGAAAGAAAACATTACAAAAAAAAGCACTTCAAACCAAAAGGAGCAACAACTAAAACAGTCAGGGACGGAAACTCTGAAATAACAGATTTGGAACCCCTCTCCTTCATTACTACTTAATACTACAACGCTGTATGGAAAGAAGACTTAAAGCAAGGAAATAAAAGAACCAAACCAACTAATTAACGCTGACTTCCTAATGCTGATTCACAGTGTACCTTAAAGATTATGCACAAGTACATTACTTCTGAAGTATTTTGTTTCTTTTTTTTTCTTTTTTTTCTTTTTTTTTTTTTTTTAAAAAAAATTGATTTTTTTCAGCAGTTGCAATATTTCTCTCCAGAGAAAAAAAAAGAATCATAAAATAAAGTCTGGATTAATTCAAACTATCCTATTTTCTGTTTATGCTATAAATTCTAGCTGAAGGATTTGCATAGCTGTACACCACCACTTTTCCACAGGCACCTTGGTTAAAGATGCCAACTTCAGCCAAGCAGGAATTCATTCCAAACCAAGGACCCGAACCTCCACCACCTGAACCTCCCCCTCTGTGCCCTCTTTGTCCATCACTGCACTGAACAGCCCTAACAAGGAATCCCCCGCAACGCCCTGCCAAGCAAATACCAACAAGCAGTAAAAGAATTATTTGCACTAACTGTTTCATCTTCCTTGTCAGCTCTTCAGAGCCCGATCATTTATCAGCCTTACAGATCTTCTGAAAAGACTCTGTTTCTGATCGGCTGAAACTATTGATGCTATTATTGGATTAGAGCTTCTGAGGCATGATTTGATTTTCAGCTTTTCCAGTTGCCTGACAATACAGGCTGTGGCCATTACAGACATGAAGTGCTTGCAGAGCTGCACAGCGCTCCCAACATCCAAAAGCAGCTTTCCTATCCGCATCACCCCAACACCAAGCATCCCAGCGCCACTTCCCAGCTCTGAGCACTCAGTGCCCTTTCACACACAGCAGGGCACTCCAAGCACTCCCAGGAAGGACAGGTATGGCCATAGCACAGCAGCGAGGTCAGCACAGCTGGAGGCAGGACCTGAAGCACCTCAAACCACATCTCACGTCACCACAAACTCAGTGCCCATATTTACACCAGCTCCCAAGGGCCACGTTCCAAACACTGCACTGTCCATGCTTCAGAACACGTGCAAGAGCTGCAGCTAGGAATCAGCACGGAGCATTCAGCATCGCCCCTGAGATGGGTACTTGAAATGGCAGCTTTAAACAGACTCTCATAGGACTTTGCAAAAAATGACGACTTACACCGCCAAAAGAAACACAGTTGAAACAGTAATAGCTGTGACTTTCTTCCTGTTGGTTCAGTAGAACAGAAGTCCCCCGGATTTCAGTGACTACAAAGCAGCTGCATCCACTCCCTGCACTTCCAGCGCTCCCTAACGAAGTCCTGCCACACTCTACAAAGCCCACACCTCCAAGTGATCAATGCCAGGCTTCCACCAAGGGAAGTTCCAGCCCTTCTCCTGTGTTAAAGCAGGTGACTGAAGCAAGCCAAGCGGGAAACAGTTTGGTCTCCTGCTAGTACTTAAGCAAACCAGCTATGTGATAGCAACTCCAGAAAACCACAATTACAGTTAAATCCCTTCTAATAATCAGTGCAGTGTTTGAAAAGGCAGGAAAAAATAATAAAAAAACAACCTTAATTTCGAGTTCCCTTCCAACTATGAAATTACATGCTTCCCAACTTTACTGTTAGGTCTTTTTCCCCCATTAAGTTCCTTGAGTCAGGCTGCACTCAGTGGCACCTCTCTGCTCCCACCCTGCTGCTCTGAGCCTCCCAAGCACCACAGTGAGCCATTCCCTCCCCTCCACCCCTAATACACCATATCAGAGGATTTTCTAAATCAAAGGACAGCAAACATGTTGCTTCATTAAAAATACAGTGTATTTTATTACCGTATTATCATATCAATTACAACATAAGAGGTAGAAGTGCCACTCCTAGCAGAAACCTGTTTTTTTATTTCATTTCTGAGTTTAAAATAGCCTCAAATTAACTCAGAAAACGATACCATAATTTTTAATGGAGTTCAATTTTCAGAACTGATTTACATAATGACACTTCTGAATACATATGCTTTAAATATGCTCAAAATAGAAATAAAGCTCCAAGTGGCCTCTGGGATGGCAACGCTCGCTGTCACTTCTAGGCAGAAATTAGTCATCCCCGAGCAAAACAACAGGAAAATAATAAAAACATTGCTATATAAAGTTTGATTACATTGTCAAAAGCCATGTGCTGTAGTTTTACTTCCCGAGTGACGATTCAATCTTTATTACAGGAAGCATGCTAAAGAAAAGAGAATACAGAGCTCATGATTTAAAGCAGAAGCATCTCAGGGTGTATTTGCACGAGCTTGCCTTTTTCATAGAAATAGATCCAAAATATCAAAGCCGAGGAAGATTTTTTATGAGCAAAACTCAGTTTTACTTTGGTGCTGTTTTTAAAGAATGCAATTACCTCATTAAATCTGAGCCTAAATCCAGGCTTTCAGCAAAGCATTCAAGCTGAGGAGGCTGTCCTGCAGTAGGAAGGTGAGCTGACAGGTCAGTGTCAGTACAGCCTGGAAGAACTGCGGTTACTTTCTGTCAGTCTGTGCCCATTACAAAAGCCTTCTTTTTCCCTTAAAAAAAATTGAAAAAAAAAGGAAACCAATCTAGGTTGATTTTTTTTAAGCCCAATGAAAACAATTTTCTAGTTGGCATCAGGCACCGGATCGCTTTCATGTCTGAAAGCACAGCTGGCATTCTGCACTGCTCCAACCTGACATCCTAACGGGATTCTGCAAGAAGCCTTTTGGGAATACAGCATTCTGATGCAAACTTCAAGGGCTGTTCCATGTCACTGCATGTAAGCTTATACCCATCCTATGCCTCATCCAGAAGCACTGCAATGGCCAGCCATGGGACAGAGGTACATCCCTGTCTGTCCCTCCATGTGCCACAGCTCCAGTCTGAGGGGTTTGGGCAGCACAGACACAAAACACAAAACAACCATTCAGAAGGTTCTCTAAGATCTGGTTCCAAATGGCAGCGACGAAACAGGGAAAGAATACATAAAATAAGCAGCAGCGAGTACTGGAAAGGCAGGCTGCAACAATTCAGGACAACTGAGAAATGCTGCTGCAGAAGAAAAGAGCCGGGTGCTGTTTCCTGGAAATGACAAATCCAAAAGAGAATGCAGACACCCCAGGCCAGAGGAGGAATGCTGCCAGAGCCCCACGCCACCAGCAGCCCCTGGTTTCAGAGGGATAAAGCAGGGCTCCTATCAGCCCCTTGCTCACGCTGCTTCCTCCCTCCTCCTTGCTCTGCCCAGCCCTCTGTGACCTGTCTGCAGCTGATCCCAGCAGAAGGCAAAGAGCTGGCAAGAGCTTAACCAGCAGCAGGCCTTCTCCTTGGAACCAAGGCTCAGTCATTAAGCGGGAAGTCAGACCGGTCCCAATGACCAGCTCTCCAATCACCTCAAAGAAGAAAGAAATCCATAAAGCCAGGCCAATTGAGAATGAACACAAAACCAGAACAAACACAGGTTAAAAAAATGAAAGTCAATAATCAATTAGCAGTGACAACAAAGCTAAGCGCTTTGGGAGCAAGCAAGAGGAAGAATTTGTTTCAGTGCTTCATGGCACAGCTTGCCCAGGGACAGGTAAAGAGCAGGCAGCATCTGGGCACATGCTATGTGGTGCCAGCAGCATCCCTGCTGCTTTCCTGGCCATACATAGCCAGAGAACACAGCCCCAAGCAAGGATCCCATGGCCTGGTCCTTCAGTGCCTGCTCCCAGTCCTGGGGAGACAGCTCACTTCTGAAGCGAGCTCCCAGACTGGCAGAAGGTGGAAATACATGGGGCAGCAAAAGTAAGAACAGCTTTAAAAGTCTTTCAGAGAAATCAGATTGCTTTCCCCGCTCTCTGGGCCTGATGTAACTTAGCACAGGACAACTGCATCCAAGTCATCCTGATTACCTGGAAGGATCTGCAGAGGGGCAGCACTCCAGAAGGCTTGCAAAGAGGCAAAGATTGCACCTACAACTTAAAAGGGGAAGGGATAACAACATCACTAACCAGGATTTGTAAAGAGAAGCTACATCAAATCAGCTTGCTGTTTTCCCTATGGCACAGCTACAAAGCACTTTTAACAGGGAAGAAAGAAGATGCAACAGATGTAATTTATTGACTTTTCAAGCAAAATGTACAGGTTTGTTTTTTTTTTGTTTTTTAAAAAAAAAAAAAAGAAAAAACACTGTGCTTTAGTTGTTTTCTAAGAACAGGGTAGGGAAACACAAGCTGAGTGACACTACGGCACAGTCAGCACTTCCCCTTCTAAGCAGGCAGAGATCCCATGGATTTGGTTGCAGTACATCACCCATACCCAGCAGCATTCAGTACTTCTATTAATCACTTCATTGCTGGAAGAATGTGTGCACTGAGCTTCCAGAACACATCAAGTCATGAGGCTGCAAAACTCAGCCAGACAGAATTCAGAAGCAGATACACCCAGGATGTGGTCTGAATAACAGCAGAGTGCAATTCAGCAACAGCACAGGGTACCACGTTCAGCATCAGTGCTGCAGGAATTAACTGGGAAACCATCCTCAGCTACACCACTGAGGGCAAGGTAAGCTGATCTGAGTGTTTTATGCACAGGTATGAACATTCAGCTTGAAACTAAACCCTGTAATTTGAAAGTCTGGGTGCAAAATGTGTCCCTGCAGGGAATCATAAATGAAGCTTGAGGAGCATTTGTTTGACCTCAATTTATGATTTATTAATCCC